GTGACATCAGCTTGGTGCCCAGCCGGTCCCCAGCACAGAGGAGGCACTTGGCTCAGGTGAATCCCTTTGCCATCTTCTTGAGTTGGGCAGGAGGGCCAGTGGGCCTAGGCTGGTGACTGTTGTGGGGAAAGGAAACACCCTGGGGACCACGGCCGCTCTTGATGAAAGGGGGAGACAGCAGGTGAGCTGGGAGCCTCCTTGCTGACCAGCGGCCCGTTCCCGCCAGTGCGGGGACAGCCGGGGCACATCGGGAGGCCTCTGGCCCACCTCAGAGCCAGGCCAGGCACTGACGGAGGGAACTGGTGAGGGCTTGTCCCATACAAGTCAGGTGCCATCTGAATGCCATCCAGGAGATTCTGGGAGGTTCTCGGAAGAAGGCTTCCAGTTCTGCTGGCAGGATGAAAGAGTCAAACAAATGTCATGAGGTTTTCATGCACTACGCCTTTGGCACATCATTGGTTGTGTTTTAAGGGTCTAAAAGATTTGTTAAGCCCCAGTAGGACAAGTTTTGGTTTGGTGTGAAAAATCGGAAGGAAGGTGGATAACCAACCACACAAAATAAACCAACTAAAACGTGCTGATGTCAGGGCCGCCGACGTAGCTGCCGAGGTCAGTTATTTTCCTTTTTCAGCATGGAGTTGCCACGCGCTGAGGACCCAGGAATCCTTTGCCCCGTGTCCCCCTTTCTCTGCATCCCCAGGGACCTTTGGGTGGGGCAGAGACGGAGAGGCAGGCCTCTGCTAGGAGCCAGAATCAGGCCTTAACGTCAGCCTGGTCCTGGGTGGAAATCTGTCTGCCTGTGACCTGCACCCACTGGCATTCGCTCTCTGTTGCCAGGCCGTGGAGCAGCCGTCAGTGGGGCTGTGTGTGCACCGGACGCTAAGCACACCTCCAGCGCGACCTCATTCAATCCACACCCCCACCCCACGGAATCCCAGTGACCCGGTCCTTCCCACTTTCCGCTCTGCCATCCTCCTTGTGGCATTTGTCTGAGTGGTTGAAAGGTGACCACTTGACCGTCCTGGGAAGGAGGAGTGACAGTGGGGAAGAGCGAAAGCCCAATTGCAGCTGACTCCGGCCCTTTAATTTTGGATATTGTATTTTTCAATTCTAGGATGTCCAAATGTCTTTTTCCAATTTTCTAATTCCCTGTGAAATTTCTCACTTTTTGTTTTATTTTATGTGTCAAGAGCCTATTTCAAAATAAAGCCCCGTTCCGAGGTTCCAGGAGGACTTGAATCTGGCGGGGGGAGGGGTACTGTTGAACCCAGTCCCGCAGGTTGACGCCTATCCTGCAGGCCGAGAGCGTAGCAGCTGATGGTCCACATGACCTCTTACCCGCCTGGGCAGGGGGCTTGGGGATCCATTGCCGTCCGCTCTCCAGGGTCTCTGCTCAAGCCCTTCACAGCTCTTCTCCATGGAGCGGTGCTCTGGGAATTGGTGAGCGGTGTGACTTCCGTTGCTAGTCTGTGTACGTTCCCATTTTTCCTTTTTAGTCCCTCGTGTTTTGAAGCTTTGAAATCTTCCCATATGAACTTCTGAGGGGCAGGACCCGGAGCCAGCGGGTCTGGGTTCAAATCCAGCCCCTGCCATTGATGATCTGGGAGACCTTGAAATGTGCCTCGGGCCCTCATTCATAAAATGGGGACTATGACAGCAGCACTTTGCACAGCTGTTATGAGGCTCAGACAAGTTAACATCGTTTTTTGAAAGCATTTGGGAACCTGGCACATTACACAGGCTGTATGGGTGTTAGTTGTTACTGCTGCTAATACCATTATTTTAATAAATGTATCGTGCATTCCGAGGATTTTTTCTCTCTAAAACCCTGCCCTGGGCCTCCAGGTTTTCCTGCTGCTCTGACTTCTACCTCAGGGAAGGGGTCATTTTTAGTTCTTGAGTTTCTAGACAGACTTTTTTGTTTGTTTTTAAACTTTTTTTTTTTTTTTAAACCTCATTTCAGACTTGCAGAAAAGTTGCAAGGCTGGTTACAAGAGCTCCTGTGTGCCCTTCGCTCAGATTCCGCAGACAGTCGCTTTAATGCCCTTGTGTCTGGACAAATCCCTCGCTTTTTCTTTTACGATGTTAACATTCTTTAAAGATTACTGGCCAAATCTGTCGTAGACTGTCCCTCACATTGAGTTTGTCCAGCGTTTCTTCATATGAGATTCAGGTTACGTATTTGGGGCAGGGGTCTGATGGAAGTGACGCTGTGTCCTCTGTGCGCTGTAGCAGGGGGAACACAGCTATTTGCCGTGTGGCCGATGTGACTTCAATCACTTGGTTCAGGTGGTGTCTGCCAGATTTCCCCACGATGAAGTTCCTGTGTTTTCTTGTACTAAATCATTCTCTCGTGGAGAGAGATGTTGAGACTAAGCAAAATATCTTAGTCCCTGTAAAACCTTCACTCACTCGTTTTAGCCTTTATTGATGATTCTTGCCTGAGTAAGTATTTTATGACAGCTGGCAAAGGGCGACTTTTTAAACTACACTATGCCTTCCACATTTATTAATTATAAGGAAAACGTTCCCCTTTGTCCCTGTTCACTTGTTTACTCACACACACACACACGTGTCGTATTTTATATTTTATAAATGTTATATATTTATGTATACTTTATATATTTTATGTTACTTATATATATTACATATATACACACACACACATATTGGTCCAGGCTCAGTAGTTCTGGTTTTATGCTGTGGATTACAGGGCTTTCCTATCATTTTTCTATTTATCGTATTTATCTTGCTGTCCTTCGTTTTAATTTACTTTGGTGCCTAAGCCATCCCAGATTCAGCCATGGGAGCCCCTTCCAGCTGCCTTCCCTGCCCTCGGGACACGGCCCCAGTTCTGGCACGGCGTTCTGGCACCACGTTCTGGCACTGCGTTCTGGCACCGGATGTTCCCAGCTCATCTTGTACCTTCCTAGCTGCGGTCCTGGAAATACCATTTCTCCAAGGAGCCCTTTTAGTGGAGATAGTATCTAAATAGACATAAAACTATCTGCCAGAGAAAATAGGTCGAAGGATGGGATGCTCATGTCTCAAACAACAAATCTCATGAAGACATAGCAGAAGTGGGTAGAGTGGTGGGTCTCCCACTCTGCCCAGCCTCACCTGCTGCTGGGAGGGCAGAAGCCTAAGGCCAGGCACATGCATGGTGGGCCAGGCAGTGAGAGGGGCTCACATGAAAAGGACGCCAGGGGAGGGCGCTGGCCACCAGACATTGGGTCCTTGGCGTTCTAAGAGCATGAGGGAGGAGCCAGGGGGCATCAGAGGAAGGAGAGCCGGGGGTGGGCGCAGGGAGCCCAGGCTGCCGAGAAGGGAGGGGGCCCGGCCCGGGGGCGCCAGGAGGAGAAGGAGGGGCTGCAGGCCCAGGGAGCTGCCCTGCGGGCAGAGAGCTGGTGGGCAGGGCAGACAGTGCCAGGCCGGGGAGGGACCCAAGCTTCCACTCAGGGAAGCAGGAGCCTGGGGAGGGTCCCAGTCAAGGAAAGGGGGGCTCTGCCCTCCACTCTCAAAGGAGAAGAGGGGATGGAGGGCCCCCTGAAGGAACTGATTCGGATTTGAAGCAACAAGGAAACCTGATTGACCAGTTTTATTCTACCAAGCTGGAGAACTGAGGTCAAGGTTCATCATAGGAAAAATGAAGCTGCACCTTATCTTGCACACCTGGGCGCGTGGCCTGGCAGTGCGTGGGGCCGCCCATTCTCATGCTGCTTCTCACCACAGGCCCCTGAGACAGGGGTGGCCTCCCCACTGATGCAGAAACAGGCTCAGTGCTGCTGAGCACCTGCCAGGTCCCTGGCTGCAGGTCCCACCGCCAGTCAGCCTGGCCCCTCAGCTGCCCCCCGGCTGGGCGTCCTTCCAGCTGGAGCCATCTCTGGCCTGCCTGTGCGTTCCGTGGGGCTCTGAGAGTCGAGACCAGAAGCCCGGCTGGCCCTTCCATCTGCCTCCCCACTGGGGTTGGCCTGGAAACAGTCCACTCTGGCCAAATGGGTGTCTGAGGCGGAAGCATTTGCTGATGGACACAGACATGGCCTTGTCACACAGGGGTGCTTGGGCGCAAGTATGCAAGGGCGGGGGGACTGTCGCAGAGAGGCCCTAGGTCGGCTCTGTGAGCACCTCGTCTTCCCCCAGCTGACCTGAGCAGGCCGGGCCTGGAGCAGGCGTGACGGTCAAGAACCACCTTCCTGGGCTCCCGAGGCCACTGGGACGACATGCCCCTCCCAGGGGAGGCTGGCAGAGCCACGGGATGTCTGATCCCAGGTGGAAAATTGAAACCACACTTCCCCGCCACTTCTCCATTGGTCCCTGGACAGGGACCGCATAAACAGCTTAATTCGAACCATACCACCTCCACCCTCTGCTCTTTCCCAGGGCTGCCCCCTGCTCACTTTGGGGAGGCAACCAACACGTGTGATGTCCAAACCCAGGCCTGTCTGCTCCTCTTCGTGGAGCTGAGCCTGCTGGGACATCAGGTCTTGTCTTCACAACCACCTATAAAGGACAATGAAGCCCACTTGTCAGATGAGGAAACTAAGGCTTGAGTCAACTCACTTGGCCAAGGTCATGTGGCCAAGGCCTCCCCTAGACCCAGCTGCCCTTTGTGAACGTGGGGCTCCCCAGGGACACACAGCCGCTGCTTGCACGGCCAGAACTGAAAGCCTGTGCCGTGTGCCGGCCCCACCCCTACCCGCCGGGTGCAGTCAGTGGGTAGAGCTCCCTCTCTGAGCCCCTGCCTTGGAGCTGAGCTGGGCTTCACCCCAGAAGTGTGGCCACAGAAATCTCTGCACTGCTGTCTTCCAAGGACGTCACCCCCCAGGTCCTCATGCTGTGTCCTCAGCCCTCCCTGTGCCCAGGGCCGTTTTCATCCCCAGCACCACCAGACCGGGGAATAACTGACAAGTCAGGAGCCCACAGGTTAGAGCCCCAGTGCGTCCCTTCTGACTGTGTGACCTCGGGCAAGTTTCTTAACCTCTCTGAGCCTGGCCTGGAGCAGGCGTGACGGTCAAGAACCACCTTCCTGGGCTCCCGAGGCCACTGGGACGACATGCCCCTCCCAGGGGAGGCTGGCAGAGCCACGGGATGTCTGATCCCAGGTGGAAAATTGAAACCACACTTCCCCGCCACTTCTCCATTGGTCACTGGACAGGGACCGCATAAACAGCTTAATTCGAACCATACCACCTCCACCCTCTGCTCTTTCCCAGGGCTGCCCCCTGCTCACTTTGGGGAGGCAACCAACACGTGTGATGTCCAAACCCAGGCCTGTCTGCTCCTCTTCGTGGAGCTGAGCCTGCTGGGACATCAGGTCTTGTCTTCACAACCACCTATAAAGGACAATGAAGCCCACTTGTCAGATGAGGAAACTAAGGCTTGAGTCAACTCACTTGGCCAAGGTCATGTGGCCAAGGCCTCCCCTAGACCCAGCTGCCCTTTGTGAACGTGGGGCTCCCCAGGGACACACAGCCGCTGCTTGCACGGCCAGAACTGAAAGCCTGTGCTGTGTGCCGGCCCCACCCCTACCCGCCGGGTGCAGTCAGTGGGTAGAGCTCCCTCTCTGAGCCCCTGCCTTGGAGCTGAGCTGGGCTTCACCCCAGAAGTGTGGCCACAGAAATCTCTGCACTGCTGTCTTCCAAGGACGTCACCCCCCAGGTCCTCATGCTGTGTCCTCAGCCCTCCCTGTGCCCAGGGCCATTTTCATCCCCAGCACCACCAGACCGGGGAATAACTGACAAGTCAGGAGCCCACAGGTTAGAGCCCCAGTGCGTCCCTTCTGACTGTGTGACCTCGGGCAAGTTTCTTAACCTCTCTGAGCTATGCTTTCCTTTCCTTATCAGTACAAGGGGACAAAAACAGCATGTGTTTCATAGTGGTTATGAAGATTTGATGAGGTACTGTGTGTGTAAGGCACTTGAAACAGCATGTGGACTGTTTACTAATGCTAACGGATTATAACAAAGGCTTGCAAATGTGTTTGCTAATATCGCAATAGGACGTGAATAGTTATAAAAATAGCTGAGCAAGGATGTGTGCTAATACCAACGCACTTTGATGAATGTGTGAATAAATAAACACAAGGTTGCCTGACTAACCCTGGATAAACGTGTGCATGAGCCTGGTCCTGTGGTCTGGGGTGTATGTGTGCGTGCCTGCGCACGTGTGTGCATAGGAGTAACTCGAGAGCCCAAGGGAAAGGGAGGGGACGAGAAGTATGAATACGTCTGATGCAACGGAGCCGCTATGCCCAGAATTAGTGTGAAGCAAGCTGTACCTCTGAGACCGTAGGGTTGAAAACAGATAGCTACCAGAGTCCCAGAATGTCCTGGGTTAGGTGCACTGCTGTTCTCAGCTCTTTACAAATATTAACTCATAAATCCACATGTGGTGGGTGCCATTATTAGCCCCATTTCACAGAGATGGAAACTAAGGCACAGAGAGGGTAAGAGACTTGCCCAAGGTCACACAGCCTGGAAGGAACAGAACCAGGATTCGAGCCTGTGGTAGGGTCAGAGTGCACACTCCGAGCCGCTAGGCCTGCCTCCTGTACAGGAGCCCCTGACCTGGAGTGTGTCTCAGCCACGTATCAGGACCATGTGACAGGATGCACTGACTGGGCGTGGGAGCATCAGTTTCATAACAAATCCTCCAAACAGGGCTCAGCATCGCTTCCCCAGCACATGGGTTGAAACCAGAAGCACACTCTTCAAAAGCAGCAAGTCAAGAAAGATAAGGACAGGCTGGGGCTAATTGATTAATTTACAAATTGGAAGCGACAGGAGGGAGTGGGCTGGCCACATGTGCCTGAGTCCTGGGCCCAGGGAGCCAGAGCGTCCAGAGGGCACGCGGCCGGGATGACCCAGCAGGTTGGAATGGGCTGTGGGCCAGCGGGTGGCAGGTGACGCATGGCAGTCTGCTACCCGTGTCTCATGCTCCAACCTGGCATGTCCCCATGAGATGGTTTACTTCCCGACTCCGATCGTGGCACTGGAGTTAAATCAAAGACAGTCCTGTTCTTAGGAAATACACACTGAAGTGTTTGGGAATAAAGAGACTGACATCTGCAGTTGACTCCCAGACGGCACACACACTCACACAGTAAAGCAAATGGGGCAAATGATAAAGCAAAGGGCCAGTGAAGCTGGGTGGAGGGTGCACGGTACATGCAAGTAGCCCCAAACTGTGACACTGCATGTGCAGCCCGGCACCTCTCTCAGGCTGTGGACGTCCCCCAGCCATGAGACACACCTGTGTCCTCTCAGTCTGCCTGCTGCAGGTCATCCAGCTCAGGTGGGCGGCCCACTGCTCAGAGACCATGGGTGCCCCGGGCAGCCTGGCCTCCTCCTCCTGGCTCCAGTCATGACGAAGCGCCCACGACAGGAGGCACGGGGCTGACGAGGTGGTTGGTTCCTCGTCCTCGAGGCAGACCCCGCCCCGCTCTCAGACACAGGGCAGGGCGTTCCGAGGGTGAGGAGGGCCTGAGGGAGCCCGGCGGCCTGGGGTGGGTGGGCGTCGGGAAGGCCTCCAGGTGGAAATAGTTTATGACAAGACCTGAAGGAGGAGAAGAAAAGCTCAGAAGGGGGCAAACTGTTTTTCAGCAAACCTGTGAGTTAAATACTATTGGCCGATTTTGTGGGCGGGAATTGAGGCCCACAATTAAGCTGCCCTGTGGTCTGTGGCTAGGATGGCGGCCCTGGGGTCCACAGTGGGACGTTGCCACTGCTTCCATCATGTCCAAGGAGACAGGAACCCCCTAGTGCATATGGGGAAACCGGACCAAGGGTCACCCCTAAACCTGTCCTCTGAACGTCTCTGTGTTCCTGAGCTGCTTGGATGCCCTGGGGAGCGTGGGAGCACACAGGTGTTGACCTGCAGGTAAGGAATCTGGGCACGAGTCAGGCCCAACTCGGCCACTTTTAAGCCCTGTGATTTTGAGTCTTAAACCTCCATCTTCTTGTCTCTGAAACAGATATTAGTGGTGCCCAAAGCTTTGGCTCGAGGCTTGACGAGCGTTGTAATGACCATGGCAATGCTAATCAGAGCGGCAATCACTGCGAGCTAAAACACTTCATCATTCTCCCCATTTGCGGCCCAGATGCTAAGGAACTAGGCCCAAGGCTCACTATCCGGCCAACTCCTTTCCTCCCAGACTATGTGGGTTTGTTTTTCCGCTTGTTGCTTTGCCAAAGCGAGAGTAACAAACCCCGCCACCTGCCATTTAGTAAGAGGAAGATTGTTATTATAACCAAAAGGACACAGGTTGCAGCAGGAAAGCCCGTGCGTCCCGGCCTGCAGTGTCCTTAGACTCTGCACGTGTCCTGGAGGCCTCTTCCTCTGTGATCTCTGCGTGGGCTTCCAGGGCCTGGCGACCCAACCCCAAAGTATCGTCAAGGGGAGGGAGTTTCAAGGCTGGCCCCGGGGTAGTCCCAGCGGTGTCCTTGTTTGGCCTGGCCCGGGGGCCTCAGCTTACCTGGAACAGCTGTCTGCAAAACGGCCCCAGGAGGCTTACTCCCTGACGGGTGGCGGTGGTAACAGTGTGGTCACGTGACAGCTGCGGGCAAGGAGTGCAGGCAGCCGGGCAGGATTCCCAGGGGACCGCTGCTGTCTGCTGAGCTATTTCCCCAGGAATTCTTTAGACTATGAACCATGTCTATCTCCCTGATAACAGAACCGGAGGGGTCACGCCATCCTCAGCACTCAGGATGACCGACGCCTTCACGGGGTGGGTGCGTGGAGGTGCCTGAATCCCAACAGGGAGGCGAGGATCAGGAACAGCGATGCTCCGCAGCCAGGCTGTGACGCTGCTCTGACACTGGCTTTGCACGGCCACGAGAGTGGACTTGTTCATTCCACCCACAGATGCGTTCTCAGAGCACATGCTCTTGGTGGAGTGCAGGGATAGAGTGGTTCCTGGAGGCGCCGTGATTCCGGGGAGGCAGATGGTGGGCCCACAATCGCCTGCAAGAACGGCAGTCAGAGGCGTGTGGTGCCATGAAGTGGGGCTTTCGAGTGTGCGGCCAGGAAGGCTTCCTGGAGGAGGAATCTGGTCTTTATCCGAGGAGCAATGGACTACAGCCATTGAAGCTGTCATCTGGGGATGATGTGATTAGACTGGCATTTTGAAAGAGTATTCTGGTGACAGGGTGGAAAATGGATTGTTGGAGTCCAGAGTGGAAGCTGGAAGCCAGGCTGGAGGTCATCGCCCAGCCTTATGAGAGGCCTCCAGCTAATTATTTCCCAAGCATTTCCCTCCGCCCTGAGCCAGAGGCAGCTTGGGGTGGTGGATATGGGGATGGAGAGAAGTGGGGGGATTGAGAGATACTAAGGCAGCTACATGGATAGGACTTGAGGGTGCACAGAGCGCCTTGCAGAGCGGGTGCAGGCAGGGTCAGAGCCTCCTGTGGAATGTGTGGCTCCATGAAACTGGCCAATGGTGGTGACTGTCACTCCAGGCATCGCTAGGCTGGGGAGGGAGGGAGAAAGAAAAAAATCTATGTTATTGCAAATTAATAAAATACAAAATGTCATCTACAGTACAACATTATTTTCCTTTAAAATGTACAGATAAAAGACTGAAAGAAAATTCACTGATGATGAAAAGAGGTTCTCACTGAACAGGGGATTTTCTTCTTTTTACTTTTCTCTATTTCCCAAATTTCATTAATGATCATGCACTCATGCTACAGTTAGGGAAAATCACACATGAAAACATATGTATGTCTGATCAAATCCATGCCTCTAATGGAGGTAGTTTTTCAGTGTTTTCCAGGGAATAACTCTGGCTGTTCACAGCAGGGAGAGGGAGCTCCTGGCGCTGGGACTCAACGGCCCTTGGTGTCAGCCTCGCCCATTTCCACTAGGATTTGCCAGCCAGACACAGCCTCACCCCTGAGAGCCTCTCTGGGGAAGAGTTTCGTTCCAGTTATTAAATCCGAGCTTGTGGAGTATGCTCTGAATTCTAAAAGTTCATCATAAATTCATTTTTTTAGCTTAAATGTTACATTTCCTCCCGTTCTCCCAAAGAAATGTGCAAAGCCAGCCACAGCTTGATGTGGCTGACATTTTCCTGCAGCCCTTAGGCCTTTCAAAAAAGAGGTGGTGCTCCCTTCCCTGGCTCCAAAAGCCAGGAGAGATGCTCTGTGTTATTTCATTTCTGGCCCCGAGAAGATAGCACATGGGCAGGGAGAACCACTTTGAAGAAACCTCCACCATAAATCCTGTCTGTTTGCTTGGGAAGGACAAAAGATTGGCTGGGATCCTTTTAACACGTGAGCCTGTGAGGCTGGGCATGATGCACTGGTACCCTGACATTTGGGAAGCCTCTAGGGAAAAACACAGCCACATACCAGCGAGCAAAACCACGCCACTCCCAAAACATTGGGAGGGGATGGCACACAGGGGCCTCTACAGCCTCCAGACAATAATTTCTAAAGGGCCTCCCTCTGCTTCAGTGGGTTCAGCAGAACTGGGGGCGCGGAAGACTCTGACCCCTTTAGGGTCCTGGTCTGCAAAGCGTAGGACTCTTCACTGAGTTCTCGTTCCAGTAGCCCAGAACTCAACCAGCAGGCATGACAGGTGATTGTCCTTCCTGGAAGAAACCTGAAGGACAAACTTCTGCCCGGACAAAACAGTAATAGTAGTGGCAGTGATAGGGTTATTCTAACAATACAGTTGACCCTTGAACAACTTGGGAGTCAGGGGTGCCAACCCCTGTGTAGTTGAAAATCCACGTATAACTTTTTATTCCCCCAAAACTTAACTAATTATAACCTACTGTTGATTTTATGGTAGTAAATGATCAACTAGATTAGTTTTTACTTATATTTTATGCATTCATGACATACCTAACTTTTCTTAATATTTTCGATATTTCTAGGCTACATGGCTCATCTGTGAGTTTTTCAAATTGTTGCAGATCTCCCCCAAATTTTCCAATATACTTATTGGAAATCTGCATTTAGGTGGACCTGCATAGTTCAGACCTATGCTGTTCAAGGGCCAGCTGCAGGGATAGCAGCAGTGATGACGGTGGTGCTGTGGGGGTGGTGATAATAGAACAGTGATCAGAGCAGTAATAGTAATTAGTAGTAACAGCATACATTCAATTCAGCAAACATCTATTGAGACCTACTGTGTGCCGAGGCCTATGCTGAGCCCTCATAGAGCTTAAACTCCCCTCCTCTGCTCCTCTGTCCCTGACAACGTAGAGCGCCCGGGAGTGAGGGGGCTTAAGGAATAGAAGGTCCTTGTAGTCAGTCCTGGCCTGGAGGTGCCACCCCACCCCCACCCCACCCCAGAGTGTGGAACACTGTTTGTCCTCAGCGCCTGAACTAATCCATTGTCCAACTTCCCCCCGACCCAGTTACATAAGTGTTCCTTGAGGCCCGGCCACTTCCAGATGGCCCTGTGGCCCAGCCCACCAGCTGCTCCCAGGATGTGAGCCCTGGCCACGCTGCATTCCTGGGGCCTGGAATTCCCGGGGCGGCCGACACGGAGCAGCTGCTAAAGCGCAGGGAAGGCCAAGGGCACTGAGTCATTTGTGCTCCTGGCTCTTCCCGAGAACAGCTGCACCCAGGGGCGGGGCTGGGTCCCCGTGACCCCAAACATCTGGGCCCTCAGCACAAACCGGCCTCGAGGAAGGCACGTTGGCACCCCCCTCCCAGCCCTCCCAGCCTGCCCCGTCCCTCCCGTGCTGCCTGGACACGGTCCCGGCCCCTCCCGTGGCATGAATCCCCCCCACCTGCCCTCAAGTCATCCATCCTCCAGGCATGTCCAGGGACCCCCGGCTTCCCAGACCTCCAAGCCCATCACGATCACCTGGGAGGCTGGTTAGGGTGCCCACTCGGGGCCACAATCCCATAGGTCTGGCAGTGGGCCCCAGATCCCTATTTCTGACAAAGTCCCAGGCAGTTGTTCCTCAGACCAAACTTTGAGAAACACTGAGACAGATGGTATAGTCTTATTTTATATGGCATATGATATACACCCAAGGGAGGATATCTATTTTATCTCTGTATACGTACAGATAGATACATAGATAGACATAGATATAGATGTAGTGATATATGTTAGTTTCCTGTGGCTGCCGTAACAAATAACCACCAACTGCCTGGCTTAAAACAATAAAAGCGCATTCTCCTACCGTCCGGAGGCCAGAAGCCTCTAAGGGCTCTAGGGGAGGGTCCTTCCTGCCTCTTCCGGCCCCAGAGGGCTCCTGCATTCCTTGGCTTGCGGCTGCTTCCCTCCGCCTCTGCCTCTGTCTTCGCACGGCCTCTCCCTCCGTGTGCGTCTCCTCCTCCTCTGTCTCTTACAGGACCCATGTCCTTGGATTTAGAGCCCGCCCAGATGACCTACCGTGATGTCATCTTGAGATCCTTAACTTAATCACATGTACAAAGACCCTATTTCCAAACCAGGCCACGTGCACAGAGTCAGGTATTAGGACCTGGACATATCTTTTTACGGCCACATTCAGTCCACTACATATTTTATATTCATACACTCGTGAATTGGCCTCTAAGCAGAGAGACAGGAAAGGTAGCTGAGCCCCACTGCGCCCCGAGGACGGAGCTTCAGGCTGTGGCCCTGGCCCCTCTTCTAAGTGGGTGGGCTTGCGCTACAGCTGGGAAGGCTGCGGACCAAGCGACAGGTCTTCCCCTGAGACCACAGCCTCTGGTTGGCAGCTGCCCCGCGGCACTGCACTCTTCACCCCTGACGGTCTGCCCCCCTCCCGGCTTCTCCTCGTGGCTTCTCCCCTGCCTCCTCAGAAGGCCGAAAGGCCAACCTGGGCCTCTTCCCTTCTCACTGGCCCCATCCTCCCTGGCAAAGCTCATACCATCCCTGGATCAAGTGCCACTGACATTCAGCAACCCCATACCCATACTTCCCATACTTCCACTCTTGCGTCTTCTGAGCTACATAGTGCCGGAGAGTTCCAGGGCCAGCTGGCCACTGGCTTCTCCACTCAGATGCCTTCAGGATATTGTGACTGACGGGCTTGGAGGTAGTCTGTCGGAGCCCCTGTTGTCCTGCCTGTAAGATAAGGACAGTGGTCCGTGGCCTTGGAGGGCTGCTGCTAACGCACAGGGAGATATGGCAGTAAAGCCGGGCACAGGGTGAACGCTCAGAAGCAAGGTCCGCGTCTCACAGGGCAGATGCAAACCGTACGTACAGGCAGGCAGGCAGGGGAGCCCAGGGCCGGGAAGCAGGGCTTCAGCCAGTTTCTCCCACATTCCAAGGTCAGGGGAGGCGATCACTCCCCAACGTCTAGGAAGAACCCACCCCTCTTTCTTCTCGGTGCATGAAATTTAAAGCCAAGGCCACAACTTTCCTGCCCTTCAGCAGGGAGCTTTGGGATTTAAGTGAAAATCTCCCATGGAGAAGAGAATCAAGAACTTGAACTTACTTTTACTAAGGTACAAATGACCAACAGCAGATCATTTCCCAAGAAAGAGCGAGTGCAAGGAGCCTGGCCTCCGTGTCTGGTCAGGTCAGCAATCAAGGGGCCCCTCCTATAGGTGGTGGTGCCGAATTGCCCACCACCAGGGGGCAGCAGAGCACCAGGGATCAATTCATAAATACAAATTGGGGGGGGGTCTGAGTTAATCTCTGGATAAGGTGCAGAAGTCCTCCCCACCCGGTCTAGGAGCCCCTCTTCCTCCTTCCACCTGCATGTGTGCTCCATCTGCACGGTCTCCATGGACCGCCAGGCGGCTCCTGGTGAAGACCAAGTGAAGCAGGAACCCAGTTGCTCAGACCCAGTTTTGCACAAGGGGACTGAAGCGCTTTCCACGTTACCCAGAGAGGATCCTAGGGACCAGCCCCAAAACTGCAGACCTCTTGATGCCTCAAAGTGGGGTCTCCTCGCTTACCTGGGACTTTCTTGGAAAGGCAGTTCTCCTGCCCCATCCCAGACTGACAGCCTCGGGATCCCTGGCGGAGGGCCTGGCAATTCAGGTTTTCCCAAACCCTCCACGGATTCCCGTGCAGCTGAGCTCCCAGAACCCCTGCTCTCAGTGAATCAGGCAAGATGGGGACACCAATTTCTTCACAGACACGTGTCCACGGTGCTCTGAGGAAGAAAGAAGAATAGCGTGGTGCCGTGCGGTGCGGTGTGCTAGAGGGCAGTGGGTCTGGGGCAGGGGCCAGTACTGTGAGCCTCTCTCTGTGCAGGCAGGTAGGTGGTGAGGGTGCAGATGGGTGAGCACATGGTCACACAGTGTCGTGACCCAGCCCAAACTGATTTCCAGGAAGAGGAAATAGAAAGTGGTCGTAGGGGTTACCATTTCTCCAAAATGAGCACTTCTATGACTAAAAAGAAGCCCCAGGACCTTTTCCAGATGCTAGAATAGAGGTTGCCCAGTTGGAGGCATCAGAAAGGAGGGGAACCCACTGCCTGGATTCAAATCCCTGCTCCACACTTATGATCTGGGCCACCCTGCTAAGGACAGCTTCCTGCCCTGTACAGTGGGGACAATAATAGCACCCAGCAGATAAACTGTAAACTGGTCGTGGGGGCGAAATGAGATCATTCCCGGCCCAGAGTAAACACTCAGCCAGCGTTAGTGAATTTTCTGAATTCACGGGTCCTGTAAGTGATAAAAATCTATGTCCTGGTCTGACTGTTTGTTCCTCAGAGGGTTGAACAGAGTCACCGTATGACCCAGCAGGTCTACCTGTACTGGCACTGCCAGGAACCGGAATCGGTGCTCACGAAAACCTGGCCCTGGAGGCTCACGCAGCAGGATCTACCATTGCCAAAAATGGGCACCACCCAAATGTCCATCAAATGATGGACAGATGAGCAAACTGTGGTCCATCTGTACAAAGGAATGGTACCTGGGAGAGAGAAAGGAGCAGGGTACTGACACCAGCTACAGCGGATGAGCCTGGAGAGCAGAATGCTGAGGGAGGGAGCCCCCGAGTGCGTAATTCCACAGAAATGACGTGTCAGAACAGGCAGACCCACAGGGACAAGAAGTGTGTCCGTGGTTGCCGGGCGGTGTTGGGGGGGAAATTGGGGGTGACGCCTAAGGGTACAGGGTTTCTTGAGGGATGAAGATACGTTCTAAGATGGTAGTGTTGGTGGCAGCATGACCTGGAAGACCCGAAACGCCATTGAGTCGCACACTTCAGACTGGTGAATCGCGTGGTGCGTGAATCAGACCCCAAAAGAGCTGTTAAAAAAATAGTCCTGTTTTCCCCATGAGATGCCCTAAAGCTATTTTTATTGTTTATGGGAGGGGGGAACAGGGCAACCTATGAACATTTAAAAATTTCCCCAATTGGTGCCCAAGAAAAAAGGTTAGAAAAGGTATTGAGTTGAATCCACTGTCAACTGAGAAGGCTCTGTGCGTTGTTTCTAGAGGCTGCAGGCTTCCTAGTTGGATTTTGTCTGTAAATAAAGCAGATGCTGTGGTGGGCTAAAGCCCCAAGGATTTTCAGGGGCTGGAGGCTAACTTATCAGGAAAATTCCAGCATCTCCAGGCCCAGGGAGCCGAGCTTCCAGGCCACAGCTGCTCTCGAAGGCTGCCGCCAGGGAAGCCCGCCCAGGCCTTATCTCCGGGAGGAAACGCCCCCACCCTGCCCCAGATGTTTGTGCAGGAGCGGCCCAGGCAGTCACGGCTGGGAGGCAGCCCCACAGCCCGGCCAGAGAAAGCGCCCCCTCTGCCCTGGGGCGGGAGGGTCACGAGGGGACGGAGGGGCGCCTGGCATGCAGGGTTCCCATGGGGCCAAAGGGTTCTGTGCCCCCTGCTCAGACCCTCCACAACACCCTGTCGTATCCCATGGCCTTCAGGCTAGGGGTGGCCCTCAAGTCCCACAGCCTGTCCCCTGCCCACTTGTACAGGCACGTTGTCAGCCAGCCACTTCTCCAGCTCCTTTGCACCCTGGGGCCCTCGCATGGACCCCAGCAGGTCCGGCCGTGCGCCCAGGGGCAGACCGCTCCTCCAGGGCCGCGGACCCCATTGGGAGTGTGAAGAACCCAGTGAGAAAGCGTGCCCAGGTGAGAGTCAGGCTCAGGGACGAGCCGGCATCACCTCCCGGCCCACAACGGCTCCCTCTCCACAGTCAGCTAACTGCCCTCTCATTCTTCCTGCTGCAGCTCCCCTCTGCCCCCGGCCCAAGAACCTTCCAGAATGCTCGGCACTCTAGGGCTCCTGGGCTCACGTTTGACAGTCTGGTGGCCTGTTTGCTTCTAGGCCACACTGACAGCTCCCTAAGGGCCATGCTTGCCTTGAGACCCCCTCTACACACCCGCCCGTGCACCCCACACCTGCCCTGCTGCAGGCTCTCTACATAGGCATTTAATGGAGGGGGTGCATTTCCAAAATTCTTTCTCTCCCATTGTTTCATTTGGTCTTCACCAGGCACCGGAGGCAGGAAAGGCTATTGCTCCATTTTATAGATGAGAAGCTGAGCCTCAGAGGACCCGGGCTGAAGGCCAGCTGCTCCCCTTCCACCTCCTGGGGTTTCCAAGACTGGGGAAGAGAGCTGCCAGCTGAGACGCAGTGCTGTCCACAGCCCCTCCCTGGGATAGCGCAGCTCCTTGAAAGGATGCTGAGCAGTCAGGCTTGACCAGGGCAAGAGGTCCTGTGCCCTTAGGCCGAGAAGAGTCTATCCTATGGGCTCAGACTGAGCCAGCACTCCCGGCCCTGGGGCAGGCAGTGGCCAGAGTGAGAAGAGCCCCTGGCTTCCCCACCCAGCCTCAGACCCACCACGCCAGCACCATCTCTCTCCCTCACTAGGGAAAGAGGGATGTGGACCTAGGAGACCCAGAGGACCACCCTTCTGGAAGCAAATGTGGACAAGCTGTTCAGGCCAGCGAGAGGACGTGGCTCTTGGCAGCCAGCTCCTGCGACAGCCCAAACAGGCAATGGAACTATCTAGAAACTGCTGCCGGACCAGGTTCAAGCCCTGGCTCCTCTGTCCCCTGGCAAGGTGACCTTGGGAAAGCACTGAACTTCCCCACACACTTTCTCCCCCAAGACAGGAGAGGGGGTGCATAATAACACTATGAGGGGGCAGGACAGTTGTGGTGTTCAAAGGTCGTGTGGATTGGTACCTGGTGGGCACAGTGCCTGACATGTAAAGGGTCCTCGATTAATGTTACTTATTTGTAAAAAGGTTGTTTATTTGCAAAATGCATTGGAGATCCTCAAGGAAGAGTCAGAGAGAAAACTGCATTTTTGGAGACACAGGCACCAAGTGTCCGTCTGTGAAGGGGGAGGAGCTGTGGGTGGGGCTGGGGGCTGGGGGCTGGGATGAGAGCAGGGGCCCTGCAGCTGGGAGAGCTGGGGGACATTGGGAGAGCGGGATGGAGCCCGGCATGGAGGGCGGTGGCTGTGGGGGTCCGAGCTGCTGACACAGCTGAGACCATCTGGTCAGAGAGCAGCGGGAAGAGGAAAGGGTGTGTGGAGCACTGTTGCCATGGCCGATGGACTAAGGCCTCTCCACGTCGTCTGAAGCTCCTTGCTGCTTGCGAGGCAAAGAGGAGCATGTCTCTCTGAGGACTGCACCTTGCTGAGTGCTGTGGGGCCGCAGCACTCACCCAGGTGGCACACGGCTGGCAGCAGCTGACAGCAGGAGGGCCAAGGCCCAACCAGGTGGAGGTGGCTCTGAAAGGGGGTTTTTAAGGTCACTGAAGGCAGAGTAGGGCCTGCGGGAGCACCAAAGAGCCCAGGGCACGGGGAACTGGCCGTCAAAGTAGAAGGACCTGCCTGGCTGGGCAAATGGGGTTTTTTATTCCCGAGCACAGTGTATCAGCGTCCTGCGGCTGCTGTAGCAAATGGTCACATACTTCACAGATTAAAGATGCATAACCATATTAGAAGGCCCAGAGAGCATCTCACAGGCTAAATCAAGGTGTGGGCAGGGCTGTGCTCTTTCTAGGGGCCCTGGGGGACCCTTGTTTCCTCTGCTTTCTCCATTTCTAGAAGCCACACCCTCGTTGTGCACCACCTGACCTCTGCTTCCGCCCTCCCATCTCCTTCTTGACCCCCTGCCCCCCTCTCATAAGGACGCTGTGACCTCTTCGGGCCGACGGGATTATCTGAAATAATCTCCCACCTCTAGGCCCTTAATGTAATCACCTCTCATGTCTGTCTTCTAAGGCTACATGTCCGCGGGCTCTGAGGATCAGAGCATGGATGCTTTGGGGGCCATCATCCCACCTGCCACCCACTCTGTACTTGTATTATTGGGGTGGGCAGCCCCTGCCTAAAAGTGTTGGAACATTATTCATATAGTTTTGACTTTAGGGTTTTCATATAATAATTTCTCTTCCTATAGGGGTCACCAGTGTCCTTCCCAGCTAGGAAGGGCCATGTGACTCGGGGGACCGGTGTGTGAGCAGAGGCGGCATGTGCCGCGGCTGGACTGTGCCCTTGAAGAGAATGAGCGCGGGCTCCTTTCGCCTTTGCCTCCTCTCCACTGTTTGGCACGTCGACATGATGGCAGGACCTGCAGCAATCGGTCTGGGTCCAGAGAGGAAAACCACGTGCTAGAGATGCAGAGCCGCCCCTAGAGCTCCAGACCCCCTTCCTCTGGACAGGGAGAGACATAATGTCTATCTCGTTTAAGCCAGTGCCTTTGGGGGCCACTTGGTCATAGCAGCTTGGAGTACGCTAACCACACACGTAGACACCCGTGTCTGAGAGGCTGCCCCAATCCGCACAGTGCTGGTGACCCCGAAGGCCTCCTCCCCCCTCCACAGGTCACCTCTGCTCTCCCGCCCCCCCTCCCCTCCCTACTCCCTCCTGCTTTCTGAGCGCTTCCTCCACAAACTACTCCCACCAAATCCTTGCCTTAGGCTCTGTGTCTGGAGGATCCAACCTAAAACAAAAGGTAGAGGGGCTCGTGAATATTGTGGGGTGACTAAGCCTTCCCTTTGAGCTGCCCTCGTTTTGTGGGGAACTTCCCTGGAATTTGGGGGGTGCCCCTGTCTTGAAGTCCCTCTGGGCCTGTGCTGAGCCTGGCCTTAAGTCAGAGCATGAGTC